TCATTGAATATTTGTTAAGACATCTTTGATCAAAGATTTAAAAAAAAAAGATTTACAAGGTGTGTGGAAATATTGGTTCCCTTTACTATACTAATAAACAATATACATTTGCTTATACTAATAATCTATTTCTAATATTACTTATATTAATAATCTATTCAATAAAATTATTTTTCATCATGAAGAAAAGGATATGATAAGGGCAAAAGGCTTAGAACCAAATATATATCAACTGATAGAAAAATATATACAAAACCAAGGTCACCATTCCTTATATTTTTAATTTATTATTTAAATAAAATAATTTATTGATACTATATTATTATTCTTTAAATTAGGCCAGTTAGAAAATATTAATAAAGTTACGAAACAGTGCCATCATGGTGCAAAAGCTAATAATGCTCAACTTAGTAAAGTGGTAATGTACTATACAAATTTTATTATTTTTTCATGTTTTATAAATTTATTTTTAACCATTTTTTTAATACATATACAAAAAAAAAAAACAGGCCATTAGTAATATAATGTCTTTATATGAAGCCTTTAAACCATCTTTAGTAAAGTTTTTGAAAATTTCTAATGAAGAATTTGATAAGATGACTAAAACTTCCGAAAAGGAATTCCTTGAATTTGATTCTTATTATGATTTAATTCGTGTTTATGCAAGAAAATCGGGTGAAGAACTTGAATTAGTACTTGCGAATGAAACGAATCCTAATAATGATAATCAAACAAAGCCTAGTTTTACTTAATTTTATTGAGATTATATATTAACAATGTTAATATACATTAAATGATATTAATGGATTTAAATTTTAATTTAATTTAATTTAATTATAGTAATTATTCATTCATTTGCTTGTTTTAAATATTTTTTTGAACTTCTTTTATATATTGTTATTAGAATTACTTGATGTCTTTCATTACTTTGAGTAAAACATAAAATTATTACTTTATATACTGCTAATATGTATTAAATTTCGCAGTAAACAAAATAATAAATAAGAAATTGTCTGTAAATTTTTTTTATTGACGTTAATTTATTATGTTAATACATAATTTTGTTTATTAAGTATTTCTTTTTTGTATTTAGTGCTATATTTGTTATTGAAAATTCAAGGTCCACAAAGTTTGTGTATAAATTATCTACTCTATGATAAACCTTGCTGATTAAGTTCTTGGAAATGAATTTCTGATAAAAGTTTTTTTTACTGATTTTTATTCAAGCGTATGATATTTATTATGCATAATTACAAAATTGAACCAGCAACGTTTCGCTACAGCTTGAATGTTTAATTAATGCTTAAAGCGATAACTCAATTAGCTTTAGTGATATACCTTTGAATTGTTCAACTACAATTATAATTACGTCATGATATATTAAAACAGCACGTACTGAATCTGTAACAGTTAAGTTGATCACCAAATCGAAAGTGTAAGATCAAAATTTAGTGCAGGCTTGATATTCGACATTTAAATATACTTATATAACTAAAACTTTATACGTACTGCAAACTTTTATTTGAAGGTGTTTATTATAGTAAATTCATGTGCTATGTTTGGTTTTCGAATTTTTTTGTTATGCGTGACATTGTGGTTTGATTGGCTACAATATTAAACATAAGGTGCCGATCGACCAACAGCGACGATCAAAAATTTGGGCCAAAATTAAGGGGAATTTACAGATAAGGGTCCAAAAATGAAAATAATTACAAATGAGGGCCCAAAATGAAAATAATTACAGA